AAAAAAATTGTAGTCATTGCTCAAAATGCTTGTAGCAAATTTAGTTTCAAATTGAAGCAATTTATTCCAAAAGCAATCTACTACTGCAACAATAATCAATGTGTTTTCCCTTAGCTCATACTGGAGCTTTCCAAGGACTATTGTTAGTTGCCTTTAACTAAATAACTACTGGTGCCCTTAAATGTAACTCTTGGCACTTTTTCATTTGTTGTGTTTAACCAAATGCCAGTTTTCCTTAGGTTTGCCTAGCAATTTTGCTTTACAATTTTCAATATTCAGTCTCAGTCCTTTAAAGTGGGCAAAGTCTATCATTTTAACAAAATAACACAAAGACTAAACATATTTTAAAAGGTCTGTGCTTTCTCTTTCCATCCTCTGATGTTGAATTGTACTGAAATGGAATCTTTTTTATTTTTTAAATGCCGCCACTATAAGCATCTTGAACTTGAGCTGAAAAGCAGGTCCCAATTCAAAGGATAAAATTACATTTGCTGGGGCAACACCATTCACATTATAATGCAAAGATATTCTTTGAAATTAGTGTTTTGGGTTTCTTCAGATATATTCCCAGAAGTGGAATTGCTGGGTCATAAGGCAGTTCCATTTTAATGGAAAGATAAAACACAGAAGTGGGCCCAAATCTTTTCTTTTAACTGAACAGAATTTAATCCCTAGTAATTTTGTCCTCATTCAATGTATAAACAATAATGGGTAGCACTCATATTAATGAATGTGTCCAGCTTGGAGCAAAAGAAATGTAGCAATTAAATTTAATAACCATTTTCTTTAGGAGCTTTTATATATGCTTTATAAACCAATGTGAATAACTTAAATCAAATGGAAAAATTTTAAACCTGCACATATTTATAATGTGAAAGCATATAAATTACTCTTGCATAAAAATAATGTAACTGAGAAGCAGGCACTGGTGTGTGTACTATTCAGAAAAACACATTTCTTTTCTGACTTTCAAGGATGTTATAAGAACACCATGCTTCTGCATGTAATTTTACAGCAGTATCTGGGAACAGTCTGAGATAATCTTAGGATTTCAGTATCAATTAGCTCCTTGTAAACGCTATTTCTTTGGACAAGATTTTGCTATTATTAGTAGTAAATGACTATCATATGGCTCAGAAAACTTATTCTTGCTTATTGCCTATACTCTAGATATATAACTTTTCATATGTTTGTACCTTAAAGGAGGTATTCATGTGACACAAGACCACTTTGTAATTGCTTAGCTACATTGACCCTGCTCTCTTTTTCTCATTACATTTCAGACAATACTATTGATTGGCCTAGTAAATAGTGTATAAAACTTTCTGAGTGGCTCATGACATTTAGAAATGGAAATCACTCATATTTGGGCAATTACTTCTCTAAAAATAAAAAACCTTATTTTTATATAATTTTTCTCTAATTTATACATACTCAATTTTTACAAGTTGAAAAAAAAAACTATATAGAGACCAATATTATAAATTCCATCTGAAGAAAATGAGAACTCTCCTTATTGGATTAATAGCATTATGTTCTAGGCATGTTTTTCCATGTTTCTAAAGGTATTTGACTAGATAAGGGTGCGTAAGACATGTTGGATGCCCAAGCCCAGTGCCATGCCTCCAGAATCAAAGAGTGTGCTTGGGGGCAACACAGAAGAACCCTTCCCTGCCTGGGAAGTTATCTACAGCATAACAGCTGTCCTGACTTCCATTTCTCTTTACAGCTTCTCCCCACATAGAACGTGGGTTAGACCTTACAATGGCTCTTTAAAATTTTTTTCAAATAATTGAAGTACTATTCACATAATAAAATGCATAGATCTTAAGTGGTCAGCTCAATAAGTTTTGACAAATGTATATACTTCTGTATCCAACCCCGAAAAAATGCAGAATATTTATTGCACCCCAGAAAGTTTTCTCTTACCACTTTCCAATAAATGTTATCATAACCCATTCACAAAACAATCATTTTGTGATTTCTATAACTGTGCTTAATTTTGCCCTGTTCTTAGACTTCATTTAAATAGAACTGTACCAAAAAAAGATATTATTTTATATCTGGATTCCTTCACCTAACATCATTTGTGAGATTCACGCATGTTGCATGTATCTGTAGTTTATTCCTTGTGATGCTGTGTATATTCTAGCATATGGACACACAACAGGTTGTTCATTATCTCCTATTAAAGAGCATTTGGGTTGTTTCCAGTTGTGGCTACTTTGAACGAGACCACTCTGAACATTCTTGTACAAATCTTCTTGTGGACATCTGCTTATATTTCCTTTGGGTAAATACTTAGGAGTATAATTGCTGCTGATAGGATGCATTCAGATTTAACTTCATTAGAAACTACTTCAGATTTTCTAATATAGTAGTGCCATTGAGCACTTCCACTAGCAATGTTTGGAAGTGGAAGTTAAGCATTCTCCATTACTTTTCCATTTCTTTTCTCCCAAAAGAAATTTTAGAGTGATCAATTTCAACTGTTTAATGGGTTAACTTAGAAAAAAAGAATGAATCTTAAAAGGAGCCGTAATCTCCCATCATAATCAGTATAATTTAAAGCAGATTTTTCTGATGCATAAATTAGCCTACTGGTATGTTAGAGCATTATGCGGCTTCTTTGTGTGGTGGAGTTTAACACTCATAGAACAAGTCTTGAGAGAACAAGACTCATTGGACCCCACAGTATTATCTACTCACTTATTCTTTCTTTTCACATACCATTGGGAAAACATTATGCTGAATAGCATTTTATATTTCATTCCTGGTATTTTTGTGGTACCATTTTGTATTGTCTCTCACAAGAGTCAACAGATAACACTGTCTGATATTTATAAATCCAAAATATTAAATTTCCTGGAGGAACTTTTCAGTATTTCACACTTCATATTAATTTACTTAGACCCTAAAAGATATAATAGCTCACTTTATTTTTCTTTCTTAAATTCATAAAGTCCAACCACTTTTTCTAATATTTTCTTCTAGTCCTTTTTAATTTTAATAAGAGCAGGAAAACACACTTGATTAAACAGTAGTTATATGTGTTTGTTTATTAAACTGTTGAATTAGAAATGAAGGACTAGAAAATGAGAAGTATGGCTGAGTATGTTCTGCAATGCAAACACACACACACACACACACACACACACACACACACAGTCCTTGTGAGAAAATGATGGCCACGCTTTTCAGATTATTTATCACCGATACTGCACTACACCCAGGATGATTTCACCCCATTACAAAATCTCAGGAATGATCTTGTAATCCAAGAGTAGTCATCACTACAAAACCATACATTAAAGTCCCCAATCTGAGCCTATTATAAAATTAGATAAGCCTCTAGTGGTATCTAAATTACAAAATCAAAAATACCATTATTATAGAGCCATAACTTCAGAAATATTTATCTTTAGTTGTAATTAAGGAAAATAGTACTTTTCAAGGTAGTTGTCAACTGCAGTGAACAATGGCTACCCATCAGTATGGACAACATATAGACTACAATGATCAAGGACACATGAATGCAAAGGCAGTAATTTAAAGTGAGTTTCAAAGTCTGTGGCGTCTGGCTTAATGTGTAAATGCAAGTAGCCTTGAATTTGTTACAATATCCATGAATTCTAAAGAAGAAAAAAGTTCTAGCCGGTTTGGCTCAGTGGATAGAGCATTGGCCTGCAAAGTAAAGGGTCCCTGGTTCAATTCTGGTCAAGGGCACATGCCTGGGTTGTGGGCTCCAACTCCAGTAGGGAGTGTGCAAGAGGCAGCTGATCAATAATTCTCTCTCATTGATGTTTCTATCTCTCCCTCTCCCTTACTCTCTGAAATCAATAAAAATATATTTAAAAATAATAATAACATAAAGGAGAAAAAAGAAGTGAATATTTTATCCTGAAAAAAATTGTCTGATAATTTTTTATGTAATGTAGACATTTAATCGGAATAAGAGAACTTGTGTACAGTGAATAGCAAGAAAATAATTTTTTTTTGTTTTGATAGAATGTAGTAACATGTGAGTAGCCTAGTGAAAGGAAAACACTCCCAACATAGTCTGGTGTAACATCTACTAGGTGGACTATTTCTTTAACCCTAGTAAGCATGCAGCCCCCAAGACTATGGTAGATCACACTGGCACCACTTTATTCAGAAAGATGTAGGACAGGAGTCATTGCTCCTGGCAAGAGACAGCAGACGATATTGATTAGATGGTATACCCAACACTCTCTGCAACAGTCCACACTGCCCCTCAGAAACTGTGTTTTTTCACTCATCTCCCTTTAGTCCCAGCCTTCAAGTGACAGCTCAGGTGAGAAGGATAAAGATTCACATTAGGGCAAGCCAGTGTGGCTCAGTGGTTGAGTGTCGACCTATGAACCAGAAGGTTATGGTTCAATTTCAGGTCAGGCCATATGCCCTGGTTGCAGGCTCAATCCCCATGTAGGAGACAGCCAATCAATGATTATCTCTCATCATTGATGCCTCTCTCTCTCTCTCTCTCTCTCTCTCTCTCTCCCTTCCTCTCTGAAGTCAATAAACATATTTTTTTTAAAAAATATTCAGGGTGAGTTCAGAAGCCATCCTGGCTTAAAAGCTTCGTATCAACAGAAATCAACTCTATAAGCATAGCTATTAGAATTCTTACAAGGGTTTTGTTTGTATATAAGAGTTATTTCACTCAGGCAAGCCTAAAATTATTTTTTTCCAAACAGGTATTTATAATTCTGTCAGTCCAAATGCAATCTAGGAACGTAGGTTCATTTTTACCACAAGCAATGTTGCTTAGTAACAGTTATCATATACCACCTCATCTGGTTACCAAGGAAACAAAGCTAGAAAGTTATTGAAAGGCCACATTTTCATGCAAAAAAGGAAAGGGGATGTGTTAATGCATTGCCCACATCTGGTCTCATCCACAAAACTGTAAAATCAAGTTGAATTTATGATTTTGGGTGTGAATATGGTATAAATCTCTCTTGTGGTGTTTTTCCTAGAGCTGATGTACACAGTTGAACTTGCTGGAGGGCTAGGTGCTATCCTTTTGCTGCTTGTTTGTTTGGTGACCATCTACAAGTGTTACAAAATAGAAATCATGCTCTTCTACAGGAATCATTTTGGGGCTGAGGAACTGGATGGAGGTAAGATGAGTTCCCTCTTTTAATGTTTTTCTGAATATTCTTATTCAATTTCTGTCTTTGTTTTACTGAGAGAAAAGACAAGTTAACTTCGTTAACCATTGATAAGAGCTTTAGAATCCTTCAGTGTTCAATTTGTAACTTCATTTTTTACATGGAACTATATGTGTGATTCTTTGGAGCCAATAGGTATTTTCCTCTGAAAATTGTAAAGCAACACCTGCCCTCTTTTGAATTGTATTCCAAACACCACTTGTGAATTATAAGTGCTGATTACAATGCTATCAGAGTATTCATTTTCGCTCACATTGTAATCAGTACTGAAAGGCCAGCTTTACTTTTCTATATAGTTAAAGAGTGTCTCTTTTAATTGTGTTCCCTAGCCTGGTAGTTTGAAGTGAATCTCAATTTGTTCCTTATTTAAACTGATCAGTTATAATAAACTGTACTGAATATTTTAGAATTCACCCAGCAATCTTTTCAAGCCTGTTTATTTAGCTATAATTAGGCAAGCTAATTTTTATTCTAAGTGTGGACCAACAGATAGGAAAGTGCACAAGCATATTGTTTTCATAATTATACATTTATTAGTTTTACTCAAATTGGACAAGTAAATATTATTTTCATAGAAATGGTAATTGTTTTTGCCTCTGGTCAGTCATAAATATGTGTATAATCTAAGAGGAATTTGGATTGCTAAAAATTGAGCTCCTTAAACCACCTATTAGAGGACTTAAGTTTTTTTTTTCCTTTTTGGTCCTTTGAAAATGGTTCCTATATAAGATAAATTTGCAATACAGGATGCATATGCAAATTGACAATAAATAGTTCAGATGATGGTTTCTCGATGATATTTATAAACTTTTTTTCATTAACTGGCAGCTTTACACTAAATAGTACAAAGAAAAAATGCCCATGGTACCACATTTCCAGGTCTTCTGGAAGAAATCCCCAGGTAGAAGTATAGCTTGCCAGACTTGTGAGGAGGAGCAGTTCATTTAGCATCCCTAACACTCCTCTCTATATTTTTTTGTTTGAAATATATTTTTATTGATTTTAGAAAAGAAGAGAGAAGGGAGATAGAAACATCAATGATGAGAGAGAATCATTGATCGGCTGCCTCTTGCGTGCCCCACACTGGGGATTGAGCCCGCAATCTGGGCATGTGCCCTAACCAGGAATCTAACCGCTACCTCCTGGTTCATAGGTTGATGCTCACCCACTGAGCCATGCCAGCTGGGCTTTAACACTCCTCTCTATTTAACCTCCCCTTTCCATTAGGGTAAAGTCTGTGCTGCAGCAAAACTGTATTCTTTTTTCTTTTAAGTGCTAATTTGCCTATTTCTTCTTTGTTCCTAATATTCTTGCCTGTTTATATAAATTATTCATATTTTTGCTACGGCTTTAAAGAGATATAAGAAAGGTGTCAATGTCAGAGCTGTTATTGAATGGGTACCAAGCAATGTGCTAGGCATTCGTAAAATCATTCTTGCTAAACCTCAAAAAATTCTGAGGTCAGTTATCGTCTCCATTTTATTGATATAGAAACTGAGGCTCCCAGAGGTTAAATAACTTACTGAAGAAAATATCACAAGTATTATGGTTCATGGCCAAGATGGGATTTGAAAATAGGTCAATTTCCAAAGCCTTTATTTTACTGAACACTGAATCCCTATTATTTTCAACCCTATAAAAATGTAGTATGTTCAGAATAATCTAAAGATCCACTATTATTAACACAATAGAAGATACTTGGAAAAGCAGTTTACCTAAGCAAGTCTCACTTTATCTATTAACCCTATTTTTAATATATTTATTTTGTGTTCTAATGACATGAATGATGTTACCCAAACTATCAATTTCTAGTACGTTTTTTAAAATTTGAATTCTTTACTGTTGAAAATATTACATGTCTCCTTTTCCCCTCTAATATGGTTTTTATTTGTCATGTTCTACATGGTAAGAGATTCTAATGGTTTTAGATGCCTATGAACCTTAGTCACATCCCCTTGGATCCGTCAACACATGCTGTTGTGGTTGAATGATTATCTGCTCCATCAGTGGCGGAGAATTTCTCTGACATCATCAAATTCCCATTTTCCTAGCTGTCCCTCAAGTCCTTTCACCTTCCAAAGAAATAACTGTTAAGAAGAGACACCAGGCTTTTCATATTCTTTAGTTGGCTTCTAACAAAGAAATGCAATTTGAAAGCCAAAGCTGAGCAATGTCTCCCTTATCCTGACCACCTTTTCACCTCCTCTGAAAGGGAAATACATAAAATACTTTCGGAAGTAAAGGAAGGCCAAGAGTGTGAAGAAGAACAGGAAAAGAAAGTTTAGCTAATATTTTTAAGTAATGCCTCACTATGGTGACATGATAATAGCAAATTCATTGACCGTTTATTGAATATTTATCAAATAACAACCGCAGTGTTGACTACTTTATTGATACTCAGAGAATCACACAACCAGAAAGACAGAATATAAACCCAGGTCTAAAACACTCCAAATCCCAACTATTTCAGCCACTGTGTCAGACTAGGAGAGGAAATATTTGGCATCAGAGACACATTCAGCAAGTTCCTTGTAGGTTATTACAATAGGCATTGCCTGGCTCTATCAGTTCTATATCAGGATTTCAAGATAGAACATGTTGCTGCTTTGCACCCTCAGTTTGTTCACATTATTCCCTGTCCCCCTCTAACCTTACACTTTGTTGTTGCCCCTGAACTTGGGCCTTAGCATTTCTCTTCTGATTCTGCAACACTCACCTTTCTGGATCATATTTACAACTCTATCTTTAATTGCCTTTATGCACGAATAACTCCTTAATCCCAGTTTCCTTGTTTTAGTATCATTTTGGTTACTAGGAGGACCAGGACGCATAGGGTAGTGCTGGCACTTTTAGGGAGAAAACCAATGAGGCCACAGAACCTGTTAAATCACACATGAAGCCATAGTGCAGAGTTTTATTTTTTGGTATTTTGCTCCATACTTCATCTGGTCTTCCTTTCTTCCTTCCCTTCTATCCACTGAACTGTTCAAATAACCCTATTATTATTAGAGAGATGTAATAATATATGCTGTAAGAAATTGGGAAACACAGACAAGCAAAACAAAATCCAGCACATTCCTGCCCTGACTGGTTTGGCTCAGTGGATAGAGCGTCAGCCTGCGGACTGAAGGGTCCCAGGTTCAATTCCGGTCAAGGGTATGTACCTTGGTTGCAGGCACATCCTCATTAGGGGTTGTGCAGGAGGCAGCCCATCCATGTTTCTCTCTCATTGATGTTTCTAACTCTCTATCCCTCTCCCTTCCTCTCTGTAAAAAATCAATAAAATATATCTTTTTAAAAATCCAGCACATTCCCACCATTCATGGGTCACCATTATTAACACTTTAGCACATGTCCTTATGGCGTCTTCCAGATGTGGGGAAGACAGTTGTCACATGGGAGATTTATCTCTCCTTTTGGGGGTAGGGGGTGGGGACAGAGACATCAGAGTGTTCTTGCAATTTCTTAAGTAACTTTAATTCAAAATAATCAACATGCCATTGTGGGATATCTTGGGGCAAAATAATCAAGCCTGGAACAATTTCCCACTAGATACTCTGTAGGGATCAGATGTGTCTCTAAATTATGTTAATTAATTGTATCTCTTGAATAGCACTGATTTCATGATGGAGGGTCTGTTTCCAATATCCATTATACTCAGTAAAAAGCTGCTAATTTTAGCAATGAAACTTGATTTCTAACATCCATTGTACTAATTAATGAAGAATCTACTTTTGATCAGAAATAAAAATAGTTGATGTACTTGCAGTGCTGCCTCTAGAGCAAGCATGTCAAACTCAAAAGCTAACACAGGCCAATTAACAAGGTGTAAGTTTATGTGGACCGCAAAAAAACAAAAGCTTCAATTTTCATAGAAACGTAGGTTTATTTCAATAGAGACATGCTGAATACAAAGGGCTGAAATAAATGAGTCATTGTTAACATAAAATAATAGAACACTTTAATAAAAATTAATATTTTTCTTGAACATTAACTTACCAGACACTGAATAACTGCACAAATTAATCAGCGTAACGCAAATAAACCTATTTTTCTTGTTCTCAGAAAGTGAAATATTTCCTGTTGCACACACCAAACAAGTCAGTACAAGACTAATGACATGGCAATCAGCTGCTAAAATATTCTCTGCTAGTATTAGTGGAGAGAAATGGTGTGCCTGTGCGTAAGGTGCGTAAGGGAAATGAATGCAACATGTTTATAGTAATCAGTAATTAGCGAACATTGTAGTTTGTTATTAATATATAGAGACCTGGTGCACGAAATTCGTGCACGGGTAGGGTTCCTAGGCCTGGTGATCAGGGCTGATTGGGGCCTTCTGGCTGCCAGGGCCTCCCTTCCCCAGCTGCTGGCTGGGGCCTTCCTTTGTTCCACACCACCCCCTGGTGGTCAGCACACGTCATAGTGAGCAATCAAACTCCTGGTCACCAGGTCGAACTCCCAAGTG